CGGCGGGTGGGGGAAACCTCGCCAAAATTTAAGAAAAACTTAAGAAATTTAAAAAACTGTATTTCTGTCATCCAAACCCAAAAAGATGACGTTCCACTTGATCTCCGTTCCAGGAAAACGTTAATTGAAAGGGTACAAAATAGGGGGGAGGTGTCATTCCCCACCCAAACATGGCAGAGGTGTTAAATACCCGCTAAACAGGCTTTTTGCATTCAGCAAACTCCCATTATTTTTACCGTCGCTGCTTTTTAACACCGTTACGAAGGCTTCAGTGCCGCCCTACAAAAACAAACAGTGACCACAACAACTCCAAAAATGGGGTTTTGGAGTAAAACTGAAGGTAAAGCGCACCACCTCCCATTGCAAAGGGGCATTAAAACACAGCACCCACCTACAGAAACAGTTCCGTTCTGTTTTCTAGCGCTACCTGGACTCGCACCCACCCCAACACCACCCAACCGTCCCCATTTTCACGCCGGGAATGGGCGCAGTGGGGGTTTTTATTCCCTTTGCAGACCGGATGGTGAACCGCGGTGCAACCTCCCAGCGCGCATCCCGCCCCACTCCGTGACGTAAACGCCCACGCGGACCAATCAGAGCGGAGCAGGGGTTTGAAGGCGAAAGCGGCTAAAGCATCCCCTTCGCTGCAGCCAAATAACCCGCGTTTTAATGTAAATAAAGGAAAACGATCCGTTCTAAAGACGGCTTTCAGAGCGTCTAGTAGCTCCCCCAACCCCCGCCACGATCTACAAACCGTTACGATCCTCAAAAAAAGCTTTTTAAGCTAGCGTTTCAGCAGCAGTATCAGCTCTTTGGTGAGAAAGTGGGTGGCTCTGAAAAGAGCCGTTGGGTTGAGTCGAGCCGAGCCGAGTCGAGCCGAGCCGAGCGGGTTCCCGCAGCCGGGACGCAGCCGCTTGGAGCGGGTGTATTTGGTCCCCGCCTTGGTGCCCTCGGGGACGGCGTGCTTGGCCAGCTCGCCGGGCAGGAGGAGCCGCACGGCGGTTTGGATCTCCCGGGAGGTGATGGTGGAGCGCTTGTTGTAATGAGCCAGGCGCGAAGCCTCCCCCGCGATGCGCTCGAAGATGTCGTTGACGAACGAGTTCATGATCCCCATGGCCTTAGAGGAGATGCCGGTGTCGGGGTGGACTTGCTTCAGCACCTTGTAGACGTAGATGGAGTAGCTCTCTTTACGGCTGCGTCGCCGCTTCTTGTCGCCCTTTTTCTGGGTCTTGGTCACCGCTTTCTTAGAGCCCTTCTTGGGGGCGGGAGCTGATTTGGCCGGTTCGGGCATCGCACTCGGGATCCGATCACCGCAACGAGCAAAAAATGCAGTGTGGACACTCACGAGGCGGCGGCGCTTTTATAGCGGCGCTATGCAAACGAGCGGCTCCAGCGCCGCGCACCCGCATTGGCTGGAACAGAGCGCGACGCCCCTTGCGGAAAGACCCCGGCTCATGCAAATACCCAGGCTCCAAAATGCGGCTTCTGATTGGACCGCTGGATGGCCGAGCGTTGCAGCCAATCAGAAAGCGCTCTTTGGATCCTGCCGAGCGCGGCGTTGAGCGGGGGAGTGAGGGTGGAAGCCGCGCTGGTCCTAGAGCGCGCCCGCTGCTGGGCCTGGGGTGCGGGGCAAGGGGCAAAACCGGGACCCCGCTCCCGGTGACCGGGGTCTGGGGCAGCCGTAGCGAAGCCTCCCCGGGGAAGAAGCTGGTGCTGGAGCAGCGCTAAGGGAAACCCTGCTATAATCTCCCATAGCCCCGCCAAGCCGCATCCTGCGGCCAATCAACGCCGAGCGCGCGAAATTCGAATTTCCCGCCATGCCCTCAGCCATCACAAAGAGCCTTTCCCACTGCTAATTGCTATCAACGCTAATTAAGCCAGCATCCTCGTTAGCGCGGGTTTACCCCTCGCGGATGAAGAGGTTTTATGCATCCTAGGGATATTTTGGAGGGTTAAATCCCTTATTTTTGGGTCCCCTAAAGATGTTTTTAAGGGCGCATTGGTGGTTCAGTGGTAGAATTCTCGCCTGCCACGCGGGAGGCCCGGGTTCGATTCCCGGCTAATGCAACGCTTCCTTTTTTTCCCCCTTTAAAATCCCATTTTTTTCATCCCGCAGGAACACAGTAAACGATCGTGCCGTAACTTCCCGTTCCCATTCATAAAAAATCATTTTTAAAAACAGCAAGAAAGTAATTGTCTGCGTCCCTGGGTGGGCTCGAACCACCAACCTTTCGGTTAACAGCCGAACGCGCTAACCGATTGCGCCACAGAGACCGCGCTGCCGCGGCCGCCGCCGCGAGCGC